TACTGTAGAGCGCCTGCAGAGGGAGAGGAGAACCATGCTGTCGGGTCCTGGCTTCGATCGCGCCGCCAATGAGCCCAAGCGACATTTTGGTACAGCCAAAGAGCCCAAAAAACCTGCAGCTGAGACTTTCCCCCCTACCCAAGATGAGAAAGACTACCACCCCGGAGCGTTCTCAGGATCACACATCTCAGAGGTGCAACTGGAGAATGATAGTTTGAGGATAAGATTGGAACAGCTAGAGATACAGAAAGAACAAGAGAAAGCTTCCTTGCAGGCTGCAGTCGTACATGCACAGAGTCAGATCCTCAGGTAAAGTCTTTTGGAGTGCTTCAGTCATGTTTTTAATAAAACTTTTACAGCACCCTCAAAGTGTTCTGAACAAAAGATGAACAATAGCTCACAGGGCCCTACTACAAGAAATCAAATTCCACAATTCTCTTCACAGAATTTGAGCTTTGTCAACTCCACAAGCTAAAAAAAAAAAGAAATTGATATTTGTCATCAAGAAAATGAAGGCCACTGTAATAGTAATGAAAATCAGCCCATCGTCCCAACAGTTAATTCAGCATAAATATTCAGCACAACAAATGATGATAAACAAATAACTTGAAAACTTTACTATACTTTACAATAAGGTACAGGCAGTTGGGGGTGAGTGGCTTAAATGTGCTTAATTGTAAAACTATTGTTGGATTGCAAAAAAACATAATGGTCTTAAAATAAAATTAAAATAAATTAATTAAGCTTTATTTTCATTATTATAATAAGTATTATAATAATATAAAAAATATAATAACATTTATTATATAATATAAAAAATATGAATAATTGAAATGCACTGTAGGATGTAAAGAATGTATATAATTTTCAGTAACATTATTATTCAGAATCAGTCATCTCTGAATCTCAATTAATGACACGCATTGATTACATTATAATAATTTATCTTTTTTTCAGGATTCAGGAGCAGAATGCTGAGCAGCTTGCCTCGGTCAAGGCTGAGCATCATAAAGAGATTGAACGCCTCCTGGCTTGCCATGCCCTTGAGCATTCCTCCTCCAAAGTCGCTGAACTCACCAATCAAGTGAACACACAGGAGGTCGGTCACTCCAACAGTTATTTATATGGCTATGTGCATTTATTTGGTGCTAAGTGTTGCCTTGGCCTGGTACTAGAAACATCAAGGTCATGGGTTTGTTTGCTAAGAAAAAATTATATAATTGTAAGTCACTGTGGATAAAGGCATCATGTAATGAAGCTTTGAATTCTCAATTTCTCTATTCAGATCATAGTGCAGCATTTACAAGGGCAAGTGAAGGAGCTCCAGGGAGCCAAAGATGCTCTTGCTGTGTCTAAGATCAGAGAGGAAACCCTGCAGAATCAGGTAGTGAGTGAGACTTTGCCACCAAGGTTTAGTGATTCAGTTTCCATTCTTATCTTTTTTTTACAGGATTTTTAATTTCCTCTTCATGATTTCCTGTTATGTGTATGTCAATAGCTGTCTAAGCTTCTAGAAGAGCTGAAACAGGCCAAAGAAGCTCACAGTCCTGAACTACGACACTTCACTAGCCTGGAACAGAAGATTCAGTCCATGGAGCTCCGTTATAATCAGCGTGAGAAACAGCTTCAGCAGGTAACACTCTCACACACACCTACAAACACTATAAATACACTTCAGTTCAAAAGGTTTGGTTCAGTACGATTTTTTTTTAATTAAGCAATACATTTATTCAGTGGTGGACAGTAACAAAGTAGTTTTACTTCGTTACTGT